TCCTTTTATCAGCAAATGGAAAAAGAAACCAATGGGAATATGACCCAATCAGGGCCAGTGGAGTGACTAGGATGCTTCCAAGGAAGGTTTCCTCTCTCCTAAGAAGAAAATGCAGAAAGGGCTGTCCTTTTTTCTCCTGTGGTAGTTTTTAGATCTAGATGTGACTCCTGGAAACTGTTGTAGCCATCTTGCCAAGAGCCTGACAATGAAGCCAAATCACGTAGAATTATAGATCCAAAGGAACCACAGAGAAGTGGAACTGCAGCTTAGTGTCTGCAGCCCGCTCTACCTCTGGACTTCTCCCCTGATGGCACTAAAAAGGCAAAGTCCTTACTAAGTATGTAACAGGTATTGAAATGCATATGTGCATTTCTTGTGTGTGTGTGATTCTCTATCTTGCCCAACATAGATTATTAGAGTCGCTGAAGTCAAGTAGTAGCTATCATCTGAATTGTCACTGATTTTTTGGAAGAGTTTAATGAAAATAAATCAGATGCTGAAACTTGAGAATGAGGGAGGGGAGGCAACTTGCTCAGTCACACTGGAAATTAGTGACAGATCTAAAACTAGAACCCTGGGATTGGCCCGGGAGAGTCTGAAACTCTACAAATATTTTAGGATTCTAATGAAGACAGTAGGGATGAGAGAAAAGGTTCTCAAAATGACAAGATTCCAAAAAGCATCTCTCTAAAGGGCCCTTCATCAGAGATATTTTTCAACGTATTCCTTCCAAAGGAATATATCAACTGAGGGGTGGCTTGTGGAAAGCAGTTGTCTCAGCCTGCCGTACATCTCTGTCCATCAGCCAGAACTCAGGAGATAGTGCTTCGGGCAGAATAGAGGCTTCCTGGCTGCAATAGGCTCCATCGGAAAGGTGCTGCCACCCCTCACCTCTCCCTACCTAGTCTAGACTTCCTCTTCCCACAGTTCTTTCCAAGCTGGAAACCTGGCCTGTGAGGAATACACAGAAATGGCCCTGCTTGGTTCAAGGCAACGTTATCACAACAGACACTCATTGGACTAAACTGTTGTATTTCAATGCTCAAATTCATCCAGTAACTGTTCAGTTTTCTGCCCGTGCAGGCTGACTAAAACCAAGAAATAGACTGCCATCTAGAGGTCATTTATACCAGAGGAAAAAGGACTCAAACATTATCATCTTTCCTACTGGTACCTCAATGTCCTTGCCTTTAAAAATGAGGGTGTTGTCCTAGATCAGTAGTTCTCAAACTCAGCTCCACAAGGCATGTTTGATTTTAGTGGTTTTTAATTAGGGCTGTTCATCAAAATTATCTGTGATCTTTGAAATATATATCTATGCTCATGCTTTACCCCTAAATATTCTGATTCAGTAAATGTGGAACAGAGTCAGGGCCTATAAACAAAACAAAAAAACATTCCATTGGTGCTCCCAAAGCACTCTCCATGTAAGGAATCTGTGATGTTTTAATAGGTGCTTCTCCAATAGTGGTAACCAAGTTTCCTCACTCTAGGGCTCTGGCTGAAAACACGAAATATTCTAATGTGCAATAGATGTTAATATTAAACGGCCTTCTCAAAGGTGTTTGACCAAAGAGCCAACACCTACTAACAGTTCAGGCACACCAGTGTTTCTGAGATTACATTTAGGAAAATCCTAGACTAGGGTGACAGCCAATTTGATTCCTGGTGAGAGCTCTCCTCCTAGCTTGCAGATAAAACTGCCTTCTTGCTCTATCCTCAATGGCCTTTCCTTGATGTATGTGGGCAGCAAGGAGCTCCCTCTCTCTTCCTCTTTTTAATAAGGCCACCAATCCTATAGGATTAGGACTCCACCCTCATGACCTCATTTAACCTTATCTCCTAAAAGCCTATCTCCAAATACAATCACATTGGGGTTAGGGGTTCTACATGAATTTGGGGGATGGGAGGACTCAAGTTAGGTTATAGTGTTACCACTTAAGATGTTGTTTTTCCCAAGATCATGTCTCAGAGGTGACAAGGAATGGAACCAGCAGACAAGAGTAAGGAGCAACCAGCAAGGCTCTTACTTGAGTGAAAAGAAAAGGTTCCCACTACTCAGGAAGGGCTCCAAGAGTGGATGCTATGAGGGGCAGGGATTTATATTGCCTCCTAAGAGGAGAAAGTCCCACCCTCTCTGGACCAAATAGAGAACTGAAGTGATGACATCACAACCCCCTCTTGATTGGCTGAAAGTACAATGCTTCATTTGCATAGGGCATAACCAATCAAAGCTGAGATCTGTAGGTGTACAGGTGTACATCTGAATGGCTGAGTTGGATTGGAGCTTTTTTTTTTTTTTTTTTGAAATTTACAAGGCCCCTGAAGCTTCTTGAAACTTACAGAGGCCCTGAACTCTATCTGCCTGTGTCCCTCTATCATCAGCCTCAGTAGCACTGGGAGATAGCCAAGGCCACTCTGAGTCTACATCCTAAGATTCTTAGTGAACCATTCTCTTTTGATGAATCATTGCTCGTTATATTAAGGAACTTCTCATGGGAAAAAAAGCATAGACTAACCTCATAGGGGTATGTGTTTTCAAAGTGTTCTTAATGCCTCAAATGAAAGATAATACCAAAGAACAAAGTATTACTGTGATGACCAACCCATTGGTGGAGGTTGTCCTTTTCATTAACACTGCAACCAAAACAGGAACCAATATTCTGAACCTGCTCAGAATGCTAGCCCATACCACATTCTCTCTTCTAACCTAAATGGTGACAAGCCATGCCTTATTTGTCATTACAAAGCAAAGTGTGATTGATCCCAGACAGTGGTCTAAAACCTTAACCCTGCATCTGAAGTTTGCACAACATTCAAGTTGTGGGCTAGGTGTTTATTTTCTCTTCCACTCTTCTGGAGGTAGCCAAGAGATTCCCTCTATTTTATATTCATCTTAGGGTACAAAGAGGGAAGGGTAAGCTGATATTCCAACCACTTGCAAACCCGCAGATGGTTCCTTTACAGCTTTTTGATTTAGTGCTCACCACAGTGGGTTAGAAGGGATTCACACACCTTGATTAAACTCATATCCCACATGAAGACTTTGCTCCTAATATTAGCTCATGTTGTTTTATGAGTCCGTATTTCACTTACAAGACTCTGCTCTAGCTATTGGCTCATATCGATTGTGGTAGATGGATGGCAAAAACCAACATAAAATCATACAATCCCTTGGTTTTATCTTTTCAACATTGATGGAGATGAACATATGGTTGTCTTCCTTTGGTAACTAAATATAGCAAACTAATAGATTCCTTAACATTTAGCCTTCCTTACATTCCCTGGACATGGTGCATTATTCTTTGAATATGTTGTTCTGGTTCATGTTGGCTAACATTTTGGGTTATTCCATTAATGTGGCAAGCAACCACCTCTGCAGCCTGGGTGCCAATGATGTCTGGCCTAGAGATGCATGCATAAGCAGGAAAATGTGTTCACAGAACTTTGTGCAAGGGGCCTGCAGAGGCCGAGGGTCCCCCAAGGAACACACAAGAGCAGGGGAGTGGTGGGCAGGGCGGGTGTGCACCAGGCCGACTCCTAGGCTCCAGAGCACTTGACCCTCCCCTCTCCAAATGCAGCAGTCTCTGCCTTCACCATGTGATCGGGTATCCTGGGTTCCCGCCGTAGTTCCCCGCCTCTCAACTCTGGCCCCGCCCCTCGAGTTCGACCCCGCCTCCTCGAGCTGTCGTTAGGCCCAGCCACTACTCCAACCCCTCCACCTCTCCCGCCCCGGCTCGCGCCACCATATGGCGCCTGCGTACTAGCGACCAACCAGCTTTACGGATGGAACTCACTCCAGCATCAGGTACCACCCATGGCCCCGCCTGCCTCTGATCCGGCCCGCCTCCACGAAGTGCACTTCTGGTGATGCCTGGGAAGGTATTGATCAGCGCTAATGCAATTTCGTGGTGGTTGGTATGGTAAAGGTGCTTAGCAAATGCCCCAGGTAAAATCACAACCACTGACCTGAAATAGAGAAATGGCTCATAGCCTAATGTGTATCTCACTTTGTAACACAAGAGAGTAATAAAAGGAATATAAAGCTCCAGCAGCAATTGGAGAAAAAGAGAAGTGATTTGAACTCTAATTACTGAGGAACTTCTCAGGCAGGAAATGAAACATTGCAGCTAGGGCCCCTCCAGACTGGATGGCAAGAACAGAGTTGCTGATACCTGCCACCAAGATCTTTTTGAAATCCTAGGGAGAGACCCGTGCACAACCACCCAACATATCTACATGTAGAACAGACTGCCACAGCCTAGCTATCCTTTCCCTTGGGGCATATTTTAATAACTACAAACATAAGGCTATTTGCTGAAATGTTAAGCTATGGTAAGCTCTACAGAAGGCATGCAATTTTCGTTAATTGGAAATTTATACAGAAACTGGAATCTGTATTGGTATGTTTAAATAACATACAATGCCAAAAAATTATTTAACCCACTTAAGTAATTTAATTCTGCTATTACAAAGCCTTTATAAGACCTAGCGGTATGGTGTAATGAAAGATGCCTAAGACACAAGGGCCCAAGATTCCAATGCAGGCTTCACCAGGAATTAGCTGTGTGCTTGATGCTTCTAGTTTTGGTCCTACTGACTTCTGAATTGATCTTCTGTACAACTATGCTGGTGACCCTACCCCTGACTTACCCTTAGGAGGATGAGGAGAATCAGGAGATTCCCCTATCACCTCTGCAATCCCCAAATATGTGTTTATGGCCTCCCTGACGTGGCTAAAAGGATCACTTTTCAGAGGTATTAGATTATCTACTTCCTTTAGGAGAGTACTTTCCTAAAGAAAGGGGAGAGTTTAACAAAGGGGGGAACTTCCCCTCATTGTCTGGAGACCCCATTCCCTTGCCACCAAGCCCCTGTCATTAAAGCATCGGATTCTATAGCTCTGAGCTCTGCCCTGGTTCAGGAGATGATTCACATGGCAGAGCCACAGCTTTCTTGATCATGCTGATGTTCACTGTGAATAATAAAAAAACTGTAAGTAGGATCTTCTGAAACATTTTATTGGAAGAACACAAGTATTTTATAAGATGCAAGACACAAGCAACAGATACATTTCAAAGACAAGTGAGGACAGCTTAGGGAAACTCAACAATATGACTTTTAAATAATATTCTCTGCAATGCAAGGATATTAATGAGCCTTTGCAGGCTATGGCTCAATCTTGAGTTCTAGTCCCAAACTCTAAACGTAACAAAAGTATGATCGGCTTAAGTAGAATAATGTCAAAAGTACCAAACCACATAGCTATGGCCTGGGAACTCAGTCACACGGTGAACAGAAGGAGTGGGTAGGTCTCAGAGAAAAGGTGCCAATCAGAGACACCAGTCAGCCTGAGATTACTGCCTTCCACTCTGTAGAATGCAAATATAGTACATATACATTTAAACATGTCCCCATATGTAAAATATTTTAAAAGATTTATTGAGTATGCACAAAAGCACACATTGTAAACAATGAAAACAATCCAGAGTCCAAGCCAATCCCAAATTCATAGTACCCCAAAGTCAATTTGTGCTCATCTGACAAATAGGTGATGACACAGGGCCACTCCTTGAGTCGAGGTCCTCCAGGTGAAGTACATGGCTTCGATAGAACTGCTGTAGCTCTGTGGAATTCAAAATCCTATGGACTAAAGGTTAACCTTATACATTATCAATGTAAATGCTACATACAAATGGAAAAATCAAGCCAAACAATAATACAGAAGCAGTGAATGGCATTACCCATTTCCCCATGCAGACATATCCTTCCCCTTCAGTTCTAAAATCCAAAAACATTTGAGGGGGAGCACTCATCTGTAATCATGTGAAGGTCTTTTTATTATTATTTTAAACCTCTTTTTTGAGGAATGATAGTATGATTGACATACAAAAAGCTGTACATATTTAATTTATACAACTTAATGAGGTTGGAATAAGTATACATTAATGAAGTATCACCATAATCTATGCCATAACACATCCATCCCCGCCAAAGTTTCATTCCACCCTAATTAGTACTAATATTTTTGTTCTAATAAGAATGACAGAAGGTAGAAGAAGATCTAACCTCATAGCACATTTTTAAGTATACAAGTCATGTATTCTGAGCTCTGGAGGAGAAACACAGGTGCTTGGCTCCTGGCTTTAACCACATTCCGTATCCTGTGGGTCAGCACCCGGACCGCACAACCTGTAGCTGAGACCATAGCAGGCCTTTCCGCATTCTGCAAGGCCACTGTGTCTACTGATGGGGGAAACTGAGAAAATCAGTGAATCTCCTTAGGATTCACTAAATACAGCCCACTGCTGTACTTTTCTGAGGCTGAAAAGAAGCAGTACAGTGGGTCTGCATAGGAAATAAGAGGCAAGGAAAGCCCAGAAGGCCAACCCAAATCTAAACTGTGAGATGGCCTGACTGGCAAAAGTCAGCAACCCATACAGTGTGCCCCTGGAGTCAGCCTGACAGAATGAGAGGGCTAATTCAAATCCACAGGGATCTAGAGGAGACCAAAGTATACAGAAGTGCACACATTTTGCACATTTTCCCCACCATTTTGAGAGGCCTGCACACTAAATATCCACTAATGTGGATCTCAGTCCTTACCTCCTAACATGTATCCTGATCACATCCTGTGTATCAAAAGACAGAAATCAAACAGTTGATCCCTCATGGCACTCAAGAAATGGAAGGTATAAAAGGAAAGGTATGGCTCAACTTGCCAACCAAAGGCTGACATCAGCGTATCAGCGTACACCATTTCTAAACAAGGTCGGCAGTTTTAATCCTCGTTCCACTTGATCACGCTGACCATACAGCACTGCCCCTGAGAACATAGGTATGGATACAAGCATAAGCAGGCTGGAGGGTAAGCAAATGCAGGTACTTATGAACCACCCTTCAGGTGCTCTTAGCACAACTTCTTCTCAACGAAGTTCTCTGCACAGGCCCGACTTTGACCACGACTCGAGATTCACCAATTTGGGTGGAGCACAGATACCAAGGAGACCACGTTTCTCATACCAGCGTGTAGTAAGGAAAAATAAAATGAGAAATAAAAGTCAAATTATCCCTGTTGATAAAAGATAACAGACATCTCCCTTCCCATTCCTTAGAACATGTACGTTAGAATACTGCTAAGTTCTTTCTTTGCCTCTTTGTAATGTATGCAAATATTTAAAAGCAAAAAAGGCATCCTACCAATTTTACAACCCAGAAATGTTCAACCCTCAAGGACCGGAAGCAAAAATGCTTACAGAAGCTAAGAATGAAGTGCACAGGGAACAACTTAGGAAGTTGCAGCAGAAATGGAGTTTAAACCCTGCTGAAAGCAGGGAGGGAAAAGAACCTAAGCACCTCCCCTAAAAGAATACAGTGTCAGGACACAGCAAGCAGACAGGGCAATCTTCCCTGCTAAAAAGCAGGGAGGGAAAAGAACCTGAGCAGCTCCCCGAAGAAAATTCAGTTGCAGGACACAGCAAGCAAACAGGGCGATCCTCTGAAGAAGACCAGCAACAGCACCTGCAATTCCTTCTCAGAGCACCCTCAGGTGACCATACTACACAGAAAAATGGCAGGATGAAGGCGATCTTCCCCCAGTAGTCTGTTTTCACAGACTTGAGGCAACACAGAATAAGGATGAGACAGCAAAACTTCTCCCCCAAGAAGCCCACAGTTCATCAGGTAAACCGAAAATAAAGCCTGTCCCCGTAATAAGCGTCTCGGCTTTACGAGAGAGCCACAGTTTCTCACATCATATCTGTCAGTGTCCACGGCGGTCTGCTGTCCCGCAGGCATGCTGGGCCAAAGGCAACGTGAGGGGTGGGCAAAGGGGGCAGGAGACAGACACACCCCTGAACCACAATGCCCAGCACAACTCTCACCAAAGTCTCAGCCTCCCCACTGTCTGTGATTTCCTTATGCTCGCAGACTGTTCTCATATCCCGGCTGGGTCCCTTATGTGCCAGCCCCACAGTTCAGTTACTAAGTGCAACCAAAAGGCAAAATAGGGCAACCAGAGCTCCCCCCACACAGCCGCTTCACACTGCAGCTCCCCCAAGCCCCCCGACATCCGCTCAGCCCTCCAGCAGCTGCAGCACCGCACCCCATTCCTGAAGCGCCTGGCTGGGTCTACGACGTCCTCCTCCTTGAGAGTGCACACAAGGTCCCCTGGAGGCAATGGCACCCCCTCCTGAGAAGACCGAGATGGCAGAGGGGTCACACGTCCTAGTGGTGATGCCTCCTAGCAGACGAACAGCACAAGGGGCAGCTCCAGCTGCAGGTATGTCCCCTCTTCAACAAGGGGAACAGGAGGGCTTAATCCTCCAGCCTGGAGAGCTGACCCAGGAGGTTCCTGAACATCCAGGCTCAGCCGCACAGGCCTGGCAATCCGAGCGTCCCCAGCTCTAACCTCTACTGTTTGTCTCCTGAAAAGAACCAACAATCAAACGTGGCCAGAGAACCCATCACTGACAGGAACCACGTGGTTGGTGTTTCTTGCCCCCCCAATGTGCACAGTATACTCAGCAGAAGCATGCAGAAGGCGACTACGGGAAGGCCTGGCTACCACTCCAGCCCCATTCCCACACAGAGCAGAGGGCTCCTCAGGACTCCCAAAATGCTACCGCTCTGTGGCGCAGCCAGCAATCTCTTTCAGTATCTTCAGAAGCCCCACACTCAGCATCTTCCCGGGCCCGACATTCCCCAGGCCCCAGATGCCGCCATGCCAGTATGAACTTTCCTCAGGAATTCATGAGGAATTTCAGCCATGGCGAGTGTCAAAGGAAGAAGTGTCTGGCACTCCCAGTGTATCCGGAGGACGATGCCGGCGACAGCCACTCTCTGTGGGAACACAGCTCACTATCCATACGAGAGGCCCAATAGTCATCTCAGCCAAGTGGCACTGCTCGCCAGACACCACAGCAGTGGCCTCTCACAGGACTCCCCCAGGTCACTGCTCTGGACAACAGCAGTGGAAGGCCAAGGGCCACCTTTCCTGAGCCGGCTGCTCACAGGCCAAGCAAGACACTGCAATCACACGGGCCGAGGCCGAGACGCGAGCGCAAACCTCCTCAGTAGCAGAGCCCCAAATCCTCAGGGAAGCTGGAAAATAAGCAGCCCCCATCATCAAAGCCTTGCCTTGCCACAGGGCCACATATTCTCATGTCCCACTCAACAGTATGCATTCTGGTCCTTTGTCCTCCCGCTGTGTGATGCCAGGAAGTGCCAGGCATCGGGAAGTGGGCAAGAGACACTCTTGAACACACACAGCCCACTACTACTCTTTTCACACTGAGGGCCCCCTATCCTCCTGTTCCCATTTTGCCTCAGGCTCTGAGACCCAGACCTCTCTCCACCTCTAGGCATTAAGCACCTAAAAGGACCACAGCAAGGTGCTCTTTCCATCTTTCCTGATGATAAAAGCCCTGCTCCCTTTTAGGCCTCTAACCTCCATTGTTCCTGTCCTGAAAAGAACAGACAATGAAACATGGCCGGAGAACCTGTCATTATATCCATTTAGTTCAAGATGTGCTCTCTCTCCCACGTAAACTAGTGCAGCCACTATGGAAAACACTATGCATGTTCCTCCAAAAATTAGAAACAGAACTACCAGGTGATTCAGCAATGCCACTTCTGGGGATATCTCTGAAGGAAGTGAAATCACCATTTCAAAGAGATCGCTGCACCCCCACACCCTATGCAGCATTATTCACAATAGCCATGACATGAAAAACACTTAAGTGTCTGTCAACAGATGAACAGATAAAGGCAAATGTGGCACACATATACGATGGAATATTATGCAGTCATACAAAGTGGGCATATGACCTGGGTGCAGTAAAAAAAGGAACACATTCTACTTTTAAGGCCTCGCCTTAAGGTAAGCGCCCATTCCTTTTACATCATGTGGGTGACATATCCATTCTCATGTCATCACCTACATAACTCAGAGGAATGAGAAAACACCCAGGCAAACAGGGTTTGCTGTGGGATACTTTACACCAAGTATTTACAGCACATTAAGAGTCCCACCAGTGAGCAGACATTCACTGAGTACATGCCTCACGATGAGGCTAATGGGCCTGGCTGGCCGAGGAATGAACTCCCGGGAAAGAACCACCAGCCGGATCCCACCTGCCATGCTGGGGAGGGCCACCTCCTCCACCTCTGAGAGTCTGCAATTTTCAGAACGCCACCAAGGAGGGTCCCCTTTTGGAATATGCAACCTTGGGGCTTATTTTGAAGTTCCAGTAGTCAGCAGATTTACCCACTGAGCCCTCCACTTAGGTCTACGCCCAAGCGACTTTGATGGGCAGTGGGCACAAGTGTGTGTGGAAGGGGAAGAAGGCATCACAGTTAAGGTTAAGTTGCACAGCTGTTTTTGGCAAGCAGATAGGCCAGTCTTGGTCACCGCCACGTCACGTGGGGAAGAAACACGGGTTCGGGTATGGGGTCTCCTAAGTATCTCAGGCCTCAGGTTTTCAGTGAGTGGAAAACCGTAAGGATGCCCATCTTCCAAAGAATTAAAGTCATTTGATCAATTGCAGGGGCAAATAAAAAGTATGTGAAATGTCAACATGATGCATAGAGGCTACACACTTTCATTTCCACTCACAAAGAAATGGGGATAGTGTTGGCCTTTGGTGAGTGAGCCGCAGGTTCTGCAATGCCACCTCCTGTATAAGACCTGAGCTAATAAAGCAATAAAGGAACCACCTATGAGACCAAAGGTGGGAAGTGTCTTTGAATGCACTGTAGAATAATTCATGTGCCCACTTAGGGCTGTCTCCTGAAGGCTGTCAGAAGCCATCACCTGAGTTTCAGCACTCTAACCACAGCCCAGAAGAGAAGTGACTTTACACAGGCAAAGAAAGACAAGAGACCTTTTCGGCACTGCCAGTTAAAGAGCACCCTCCAGCCTGAACTTGGTGCTGAGCCCCATCGGCTTCCACGTAAGGCGTCCCAGTCAGCCAGCAAAGAACGTGGCTCACAGGCAGGTGACGTCTGAATTGCCGGGCATCCTCCTGACATCACAGCTGGATGAAAGAGGCTGGCTCCCAAAGAGAGGTCCAGTAATCACTGAGGAAATGTGTGCTGGCTCTGTGAGAGGAAACAAACATTTAGCTTAAAGTGTGGCAAGAGCCTAAAGAAATAAAGTGGGAGTGGAGTCTGGACAGGTAGGAAGAGGTGTTAAAACAAGCCAGGGTGTTCTGCTGCAATATATGGGTTCTAGAAATGGTGTACTAACTCCTTCACTATCTCGCGTGTGCTGAGCCCTTTGCAATTATACTTGCACTTGAGTCTCAACTGCATTCCTGATAACGCGGCGTGATTCCCAATTTGTGAGACTCACAGATGACAGTATGAAAGAGCCAAGTGTCTTTCAGACTCAGATCCTAGAAGTCTGTGGTGGATCAAACACAATGTGTGGTCTTAGCAACATCTGCAAGGACCGAAACCAAAAGTCTGACACTGTTTGCAAGGGCAACTATTTAAAGGAGTATTGACCTAGATAGTACTTGGATTGCTAGCCCCTGCCTGCAGGACCATCGCCAAATCAACGCCCAGCCACCCACCATGGGGCAGACGGGCAGACCATCATTCTTTGCTACCCGCTTAATGTACATGTCTCATCTCCTCCCCCGAACCCCTCCTTCTAGATAAAACTGGCTTTAAATTACATTCACATCCATGTTCTCATACCTGAAGAAAAGCACATGTGCTGTCCTCTAACAATCTCTGGATTCCTGAAGCTTATTTGGACACTCCCATCAAGTCCCTGCTGTTTCTGCTCGCTACTAGGATGCTTTTCTGAGGATAAAAAATCCTGATGTGAATACACTAAGATAAGGTTACCTTGAAATAGGCATTCTAATATGGTCAATGTGTCAGTAACAGTGGCACCCACAATAAACAGAGGGACACAAGCAAGGACTGGATAAGGATGTCACTGCTTAGGAAAAAAAACTGACTGCAGAAACAGGGTTCTTACCACAGCGTTAGTAAGCCATACCCAGGGAGCGACCCTGACATCAGGTCTCTGTTAGGGACTCAGCAAAGGGATTCCAGCACCATTTTACAAGATGGCGCAGGGGACAGTAGAGGGGTGCTGCCCTCCACTCAACACCTGTGGCCTCCCATAACCTAACATTGCTCTTACTTGTCTGGCTCGTGTGGATAGTGACTCCTGGTCCACTCTCTTCCCATTGCAGGCCCACAGGATGACCAGCCCTGGACTCTTCATTTGAACCTCAGGTCCTGAAAGAGATGGTGACTATACAGATCTGCAAGAAGACTTGCTGTAGGTTGCATGCCTAGCACAAGTGTGGAAAAATTTGCTACCTTCCAAACACATGTAAGGTGAATTGCTGGGACAGACTTCCTCTTTCCCTTATCCAGAGGAATTTCTGAAAATGGGTAGTGGGGCCAGAGCACCCAGTTATGCAGCCTGTGTGAGATGAGCCAAAGGAGTGAAAGATAATGTAAATCAGGAACTGCCAGAATCAAACCACAAGAGGTGGTTTGTTTCTTTAGAGGCCTGGTTTCTTTAGAGAAACCTCTAAAGGCTGCTTCTTTAGAGGCCTGGCTGCCCCCTTCAAAATGAGCCAGTTCGTCCCCCATTCACCAAGCATCACAGGGGAATTATCAAATATTATGTTGAGAGGTATTCCAGGTTATTTGCTGGAAGGGGAGTCAGAGCTCTCCACTTTTATTCTCTTGAGTAATAAGGCAACTGATGCAGACAAAATGATGGCTAACAAACCTTTGGAGTGAGTGACGTGTTTTCACTTTGATACCAATGGCGGACACCTATATACCATGCAAATTTATGGGTAACAAATCATCCAAATGGGTTTTGTGTTCTACACGATAGACCATGAAATGCACGATACACAACTGTGTTGTGGCATCAGTCTTAGTAAATGGTAACACAGGGAGTGCAAAAGCTGCTAAAACTAGAAATGAACTTACTTGAGGCAGAACAATTTAATGAAGAATTGCATACATTACATAATGATGCCACCACTTGACACTGAACACAGTAAGTCTGGGAGGACAGAATAGAAGAAGTTGGACATTCGGCAACATATAAATTGCAGATTTGCTCTTAATTGGCAGAGAGGCCCGTGGGATGCCACGGGCAATGGGCAGGTAGGAAAAGTACTACCTTCATTCCACATGTATATATTATTCAAGATCTGAGGCTATGCATTCAAAGTCAGGATTAGTGAGGCTGGTTCGCGTCCCAGTTCCAGAAATCTGCATTCCTGCCAGTACGAACAACACAGAGAAAGCAAAACCCAAATACAGCACTGAATCTGTCACAACCTTAAATGTAATCAAGGTGCTAGCCGTCATGGATGCTCCATCACGGTAAGGGCCATTCAATCACCTCTACAGGAGATAATACACGTATTTCAAATCAATATGAAGAATCCACCAGCACCAAGGCTAATAGGCAAACTCAACCAGCACCATCATCAAAAGGAAGTAACTGTTTTACCTAACACCAAGCATCAGGTTACTCACTGATTAAGATCCATCCTCAGGGTTTGAGCAAACCAACAGTTTCCCTTTCATTCTCCCCTTGAATACACATTAGGTGTCATATAATGGAGGCATTAGTATAAATAGGCAGACACTGCCTATTTCGTAGGCCAGTGTGCTAGGACTTAGGCATTAAGGCACAGTCAGTACTTGTGGCCAAAGCGGCAGGGCCCGCACCATCTGGCGAGAGGGGAAGAGGGTGGTAGTGGAGTGCAGGAACAAGCGCATGCAGTCTGGTCCAGGACCTCAAACAAGGAGGATAGGAGTTGTCTTGGCATATCTTCCTTGTTTGTAAAGACAAAGTAACACAAATCAGCTTTTTCTATAGGAGAACACCTGGGAAGGAGAACCTAAACCAACATTTAGAGAAACGCCCACATACTAAGTGCACACGTAGGGTTCTAAAATAATATTCACAAGTACGTACGGTACCCTGCAAGGGACACTAACTCCCAGAGAACAGGGAGACCGCATTCTGGGTATGAATTGAAATTGCTCCACCATTTTCAAAGGACATGCATGCAAGACTGAGAACAGAACTGTATTGATCCACGTGATACTGAACATGCAATTATTGCCAGAAATTAAGTCCCGAGAGAACCCAAACGACTTCGAGCGGTGGCGGGGGACAGGCACTTCCGGGAATTCACTGTCGTAAAACAACAAACGCCCGGCCAGACGGTCAATGTGGGCACGGTACATCGAAAACAAAACTCTTCATTTTTCACTAGATCTATGAAACAGGAGACACAATCACTCGCTTAGGAACACATATAGTGATAGAAACAATTTTAATGGTAAAATAAAATGAAAGGTTAGGGTGCCGGGCCACCCGAAGCCAAAGACTGCCGTAAAGCAAGATGCGCAAGGACAAAACAAACTTTCCCTCATTTGTTTCTTTAAAAATTAAAAGGCACATGAAAAGTCTGAACACAAAGGTCACCGAATGGACCAGGATCCACACTCAAGACAATAAAATGACACCAAAACAAAATTTCATAAAATAAAATGCTAGGCTGTGCTTACAGCGGACCTCGACACACGATAGAGCATCAATGTCGCAAAATGGCTATTCTCAGCCAATGGCTTGTTCTGCACTGCAATCCGAGAGTACCTCAATTTAAATGGGAGTACATCATTTAAAAAATAATACCTAGGGAACAGAACCAGAACGTAACAAAATGAATTTTGGCAAACACGCAATTACATTGTAAACTTAAGGCACTCGATCAGACATTAAATTCCTCCTCTGTGAATTGAAATGAACGCCAAACCAATGAAAAGAAATTCACGAGGAGCGCCAGGAACAAAATTCTTGAATGCGTGAAGATGATCAAAGACAATTAAATGCCAAACAGCGTCCGGCTTGGCTGATAAGAGCAGCTATGGGGGCATTCACAGGGTCGGTTAAACATTCAAGGTCGCAGCCGGGCAAATCATTTCCCAAAGTGCACACCGAAAATACCTTTGCTTGAAGAATATCTTTGATACCAGACCCAAATCAGAATCAACAAAGTCAAACGACTGCAATGTCAATTTAAAAAAACACAAAAAACCCACGCCATTAAGTTATAGAAGAAAATGAACAATAGGATCCTTTGGGGCCCGATTCCCTTCAGGTTCTTAAAGCAACAAGGTCTTGTCAATGAGAAAGCTATTTTTCTTTTTGAAAATGACAAGTAACACAACATTTTTTTTTAATGGAAAACGCGTGAGAAAATCTGCACTGCTCTTGGTTGAATGCAATGATATGAAATACACAAGTACGTTACATAAAAATGCAAAGCAACGTTCAATGGTGACGGAAGACAATTCACGGTGGTCAGGGATAAGCCCCGCGCCGACTAGGACGTCTGTTTACTTCTTTTCACGTTCAAATTATCAGGATTTTCTCTTTTTCCTTTTGAAGGACATACATCGTTCCAAAATTTAACCAAACAAGTCATATCAAACACACATCCCGGTGGTAAATGAAACAAAAACCTGCGCTCGAAGACAGCCAGCAGCTCTCATCGCACACACGCTCCTCGGGGCCTTTCTCTTTTCACGGCGAAAACCAGAGCAATCCTGTCACTGATCAGAAACCTCATGACATCGGCCCAGACGAAGATTTAAATAAACACTCGGTGACAAGAGCCACCCCAAAACACTGCTCAAGAAAAGGCAAAATTAGCTCCCTGGCGGCCAGTGGCCACCGCGCTGTCGCGGACCCACACCCACTCAGCCACTCGCACCAGCCATATCCTCATTTTAAGCAGCAAACACCAACAAAGCATTAAGGCCACGAATAGGAGGGTTCCAGACCCACATTTCAACAAACAAAATGACCTGAAACACCCATAGTGTTGGTAACATACAGCACAGCACTGCTGCCGAACGCGGCCGAAGGACCTTCCCGGTCATGAACCCAGAAGCCCATGGAACACATCTGCCCAAGCATATGAGGACACACCGTCCACCCGTCCACTGATTCTCTCAAAGTCGCCCTACAACGTGCCAATTTCAAAATAAAGTAAATAAAACTTACACTTTTCAGGCCGTAGGAAAGGGAGCCACCATATTCCCACATTGCTGGCAGGTACCGTCCACGGAAGCCGCACTGGACAATCCACACTTGAACGCCCCTGGTCACGTGCTAGGGTTACTTTGACAGCCTTCCCATCATCCCACCTCCCAGCGCTGCCATTGGTGGGCTTGCAACGGTTGACAGGGAAACTGCCCACTCCCTCCAGGTCTACTACTGGAACCTGCCCATACCTCAAGGCCCAGCTCAGTGACTCACACTTCCGTCTATTATCTTTCTACATCTATGCCTACCCCTCAATTCCTAACTGCACATGTCAGGCTCTCGCACATACCTTTTCCTGTGTTTCCATCATCTCAGACTTTGGAACAGTTGTTCACATGGTTTATCCAAGACGAGTTAAATGGCATCGTCCTTCAGGAATTCTTTCACGCTTTACTCCCCTCACCCCTAGAGGTACATGTGAGTTATTTTTTTGCTCTTAGACATGGACACGGAAAAACATTAAAGCAGGGATGCAGGCAATCATTCTGGCTCTGGGATGAGACAGTACTGGGCTGGGTCCAATGTGAGGGGCCACTTCTGCAGCCTGAGTTTCGATTATTTCTGGCTGAGGCGTGAATGAAGAAGGAGGAAAATGTATTCATAGAAGCTCAGGCAAAGGTCATGCTTAGGGCCCTCTGCAGGGCAAAGTAGTGTTGGTCAGGGAAGGCATGCATCTGGTGACTGGCCTGCTCCATAGCCGTTGGCCATTCCATCTCCAACATCTGTAAGCTCCGCCCACAACGCGGGGTCTAGGGGCCCTTGGCTCCTGAATTTGTTCCTGTTATTTGCTTGCGGCCTGTGTAGAAAGCTTTGGCTCCGCTGGTATGATGTTTGACCCCCCCCCCCCTTACTGCGGATGCTGCAGTGGAACCCTACCCATTCCCTTTCCCCTTTTCCCATTCTAGCTTGTGACCCCTGAGATGCGCCTGGATTCTTTCAATAAGCCACATAATCAAGAAAGACATTATCCCCTAGAATCTGCACAAAGGAATGTAGCCTGCCAATACCCTGATTTGGGCCTGGGAAGGTCCATAATAAACCTGAGCCCTACACAACTTGATAAGTGTGTGTTGTACACTTGTGATAATTAATGACAGCAACAGAAAACTAAGAGAAAGGGAAAAGTCCATATGAATTTCCCAATAGAAACAGAGCATGTCTTCGATGTGTTTAATTTCCTACTGTAAAGGAATTGAACATTTATGGAGTGCATATTGGAATGTTTTGTGGCAAAAAAACAGCATTTAGTTGCACTGGTAGGAGGGGCTCTTTTATTGAGAAGTCTATGTGGCTGTGGGCAGAAGCTCATACTATCCTGTTTCTCATAACTTATAACACGTGACTAAAACTTATCATTCTAATCATAAGAAAGCATCAGAAAATGCAGAGGGTAATTTCGCAAAATAATCCACTATCTAATTTTCCAAGGTGTCATGCTTAAAGGTGGACTGAAGAGTACGCAATGGCAGGCGACCGGCGCGTAACGACAGTGTGTATCACGCAGACGCCTTGAGCAAGGAGCATTTGCTCCCTCCGTTCTCTAAGGGGAACGGGCCCCGTCCCCCACCGAATAATACTTGATATTCTTGGCTCCTATCCAAGACTCCTCCTCTTGCCTTAGGCCCTCTTGGGGATCGCGGTACCGCCCCTCCCATTCATTCTCCGCCCCTACCTGGCCCAGCCAGCTGGATTGGGCATTAGTCCCGGACCTTTTCTACCATTCCACGTCTCCGCTCCGCTCCTAGCTCACCCCTTCAACCCCATGTTGCGCTTGAGCACAAGCAAAAGCCTGGCCTGTGGGTAGACCTCGCCGACAAAGGAAACCACCCTCGTCCCCACGGACCCACCTCTAGGCCACTCCCCGCACACACGCACTTCCCGCCACGCCTCCGCGCGGACCACTGAGGAGCCTCGCTCATCTCAGCAAAGCGAGCGCGGCGAGATGGACGGCAGAGTGCAGCTGATTAAGGCCCTGCTGGCCCTGCCTATCCGACCCCAGGCGCGTCGCTGGAGGAACCCCATTCCCTTCCCCGAGACGTTTGACGGCGACACCGACCGGCTCCCAGAGTTCATCGTGCAGACGGGCGCCTACATGCTAGTGGACGAGACGCTGTTCTCCAGCGATGCCTTGAAGGTGACGTTCCTCATCACACGCCTGACGGGACCGGCCCTGCAGTGGGTGATCCCCTACATCAGGAAGCAGAGCCCCCTCCTCAATGATTACCGGGGCTTCCTGGCCGAGATGAAGCGGGTCTTTGGATGGGTGGAGGACGAGGACTTCTAGGCTGGGAGCGCCTCGGGCCTGGGGGCGGGTGCTCGCGGGAGGTCCTCTGGCCGCGCCAGTGGCCGCTGCGCAGATCGTCACGGGCGTCGTCCCGTTGCGCCAACCCCTCCCTCACCTCGAGTCTCCGCGATGTCCCCCGCGCGCCTGTCCCCTCCCGCGCAGTGCTTGCCCTTGTTCCAGGAATAGCTCCAGGTACCTGCTGCTGCGGCTGGGCCTCGCCCTGGAGCCCGCCGCCGCCCTCTCCGGCCAGCCGGCCCCTCCCACGCACTCTTGGACTCCGTGCTGCACTCCAGCTGAAAGCTGGGCCCCTGTTACACATCGGACACACCACCCGCAGCTCGGCCGCAGCCAACAGCCCCCTGCCAGACGACCAGGCCTGGTTCCGAGTGCCGAGACCTGCGCTGCCGCTGCTATCGCCACCCAGTGCATCCGCCGACAGACTGCAGCCTCCAGCGATCTAGACCCGCCCAGAGGGTATCCAAGCCTGCCACAGCCCCCGGACAACGGTTCAAACAGCTGGCCACTGTCTTGGAGGGGCCGGCCAGCCTTTCACCTTCAGTGGGACCCCTTCCCTCCCCACTTACTCCCAGAGACATCTTCTGTTCCTGTCAGATGGCCGCCAGGTCCCAGCGGTGCCTGGCAGCCCCACTGAGTCACTCATTTTCTCCTGGGGACCTTTTAGTTTTGCCCAGAATACAGTTCTCTTCTGAATTTGCAGCTGTCTCTGTGATGTGTGCCTTTTGTTCAACACAGTAATCCCTGCACTCTGTCCAGCTCTTCTACACTACCTGAAGAAACGTCTTTTCCTTATTTTCAATAAATGTCAGATGCTATTAAAATAGAAATTGAGTTTGAGTGAATATGGCTCCTCTGCCTTCCTGGTCCAGTACCTGAGGTCCATGTCTTATTCACAGGTGTGTCCTCTGCCACTCTGTGCCTGATGTTGACACAGAAAGGATGGTCCTGGGGATGGAGACCCTTCTGGTGATCATTCAAGCCCAGATGCTGACCCTTCCAAACCAGTTCGTTCCATGCCCTTTGGGAAACGGACCTTGGTCTGGTTTGGCCGAGTCTGTGTGAGGAGAAGTTGGCTAGAAGGCCTTTGGAAATGCCTTCCTCATTTCCAAAAGCTGCTTGAAAGCACAATACATCATTGTTACAAACCACGAATCCCACACATTTGTTGGTGAACGCCTGTCAAAATTTTATTTAATCCATTATGCAGGGAACCAGCAGAATGACAGGTGTTTTGGAAAAGCCACAAACATTCATAGAGCCTTGACTGTGTGAGTAATGGAAAAAGAAATGCAGAAACTTATGTGATTGTTAATTTAGAGAAGGAATAGGCTTTATTCTTTGCTGTTTGTGTGCATGCCACCCTCTTAAATCTACAGTGCTGAAAATAACCTGTGCTGCCACATCAATGGCTGGGAAAAGTTAAACATTCCCAGAGAGTCAGATGAAACGTGGGCTTATAGGACAGTACTGGATTGACTCAGCCCCGACTCTAATTTGGGTGGTTTTTCCGTGGCATACAAAAGAGGAATCCATCAAAACAGTGGTTTTCACTTTATTACCTCTCTCTTCATCTGAACAGGTAAGCTTTTGTCATTCCTGTGCAGTGGTTTGGAGGGCTATCCATTGAGCTGGAGGTACAGTATCTGCATTATATATCTGATGATGTTTTTATTGCCAGAAATTGTGAAAACATTATTACTTTACAGTTTGTCTTGTAATAGAACCTAGTCTTGAAATCAGAGGGAATATTTGACTTTCTTAATACAATAAGGTTATGATTTGCAGTGTTCTTACAACAACTGAAAGCAGGCCAAGGGTGAAGTTCCAATTTAAGGTGCTGGCAGTTGGCCTTCCTAGATGGGTATGAAGGATAACTGTGTTAAGCTTATTACCTGTTTGGTTTTAAACATAGATTCTCCTAAAGTGGTTTGAAAAGTGTTTGGAAACTTTATAGACTAGGCCCAGCATATTTCTTAGGATCTATGCTCACCTGGCTCAAGAGGTAGGCAGAGTGGGCAGGGCCTACTCATTGTTGTTTGAACAATGTCAGCAACCCCTGCCTCCTACAAAAGTGCCCTGCAGTTTTCATCCTCCTGCAACAATGACTGTGTCAAGGAACTGTGCCTTGGTCTACACTAGTTGTACCATATCCAGTCCTTTCCCATGATACAAATTTTGGGGGAAGGGTAATATTTTATAAAAAATAATTTTTGGACATCTTAGCAAGATTCCAGAAGTGGACAGAATTCATAAATGGAGAAGGGAGGTTCTTTTTCATTGCTTTCCAGTCTAACCCCTCACAACAGTCATTTTGTTTCCTTTCCCTCATTTCCCACGATAATCTAGACAAGAAGTCACACTTGAGAAATAGAGGATACCAACCAACTGAGAAAAGGAAGAGGACAACAAGAGTTACCAGCATCAGAAGAAATTAACTTTTGATGACAAGTGGTTCCAAGTGAAATACCCAGGATAAGGAAATTAGGTACGGCCAACTACCTACTATAGAAATTTGAAGGACTTTCTGATATTATTCAAAGGAACCTGCCGTCACTATTCCCTCCTGGGAACACAGTATGTGCTATGACAGAAGTCACTAGGCAACTGCCAGTGCTAAGCTGTAAAGGTTTGTAGGAGCCCCAATGGTTCATGTCCTTGGAGGGGGTACATCTGTGGTGAGGCAGGGATCACAGCATGGGATAGTGTTATTTCTTTGTTATCCAGAAGAGAATTCACCTTACAGCATGGGAGCCTACTGATGAAACTTAGAGGAATTTCACTCAGACATCTTCAAAATTCAGGTAGATTTGCAACCCTAAAGAAGTTTCCTTCTTCCACAAAGAAATATTTTAAGTATGGTCCTGTATTAGTTTGCCTGGGCTGCCACAACAACGTACCACAAACTGATGGCTTAAATAAGGGTAACTGATTGTCTCA